ATAGAGGGGTTGGGGCTATACCTCAGCGGCAGAGCACTTTCCTAACGTAAACCTCTGGGTTCATCCACAGCAAATAAACAGATATATAACCACAGTAATAGAAATGCTCCAGAGGAGCGGTACCAATTTACACCCACCCCAGCATTCATGACCGTCCATGTCCTCCAACTTCACCACTGAAGTGTACGCCTCTCCTCACAAAGTGTACAAACTTTACATGTTTGCCAAACAGACAAAAAACAGTACCACAGTGTTTTTTAAATTTGCTTTCTCTAACTACTGGCAAAATTGAGCATCATTCTATGCTCACTGGCATCAGCAGCTACTCTCCCTATCGCTGCACCTACCCCGGACCCAGATCCCTTCACCACAGGTCAGTGACTGATCGCTCTTAGGCTCCACGTACCTTCTCCTGAATCTGGCCCCCAATGCTCCGCAGGGCCTCCTGGAAAACTTTGTTCTTGGGCTCCAGGCTCACACATCTCTGCAGGTCAAGGACAGCCTGGTCCAGGCGGCCCAGCTTCTCTAGGGCTTGACTCCGCCGGTAAAGTGCTTTGATATCGCCACCATCCTTGTCAATGGCTGAGCACAAACAGGAGCTCTGTCAGCGCCCAAGAAGCCACTGTCTCCAGGAAAGGGCAGTAGGGAAAGATCTCGAGGGCCAGAGAAAGGTGGGGAGACGGAAGGGGGGCTTGGTACTTCAGCCTCAAAAGGTGAGGACAGCTGCAAAAAAGGAAATGCCCAAAAAAGTGGGAAAGAAAGCAAGCAGGCATGCTTCAGAGCAAAGGAAGAAGATGGAGCAGTGGTCCCAGAATCCCTGCCCACCACAGAACCCCACCCACGGCTGCACACCAGGGCCCATTCCCCTACCTTTAGATGCCTCTGTTTCTGCTTTCTCATACTCTTCCTGTAAGAGCAAGATCAGGAGCCTGAGACGAGTCATCTCCCTTCCCAGCCACTAACCGGCAGCAGGAGGACTTGCTCCAGTCACCCGATGCCCCTCCACCCTGAGGCCCAGAGACAACAGCAACCGTGAGTGGCCTGGGGAAGTGATTGTCCAGCCGGCCGGGTAGGCAGAAGGACAGTAGCCCCAGCCCTCACCAGCTTGAGGTGGCAGGCGGCCCGGTTCCGGTGCAGGGCGGCCTGGTCCTGGGGCGTGGCGCCCAGACCCAGGGCCTGGGTGTAGGCCGTCAGGGCGCCCTCGAAGTCTCCGCATTTGAACAGCTCGTTGCCCTCCTTGCGCAGCTGCTCCCCGGAGCTGGCCTGTGGGGAAGGGGAGGGAACGTCAGGTGGGCTCAGGACGGCGCAGGGGAGCTACTAGGGGAAGAGAGGATGAGTTCCGCGGAAGGCTAGGGATGGGGCTGAGGGCAGCCTGGGAATGGACAGGCAGATGCGAAGGGGTGAAGGACAGGAGGCTGAGTACAGATCGCCCGAACGGCGAGCTAGGGCTCAGGGGTGCGGGGACCACTCACAGTCATCACGGCGCTGAAATCCCAGGCCCGCGCAGGCGCAGCGTCTACGGAGGAAGCGGCACTGGGCGGGGGAAACGCACACGGGATGCTACGCCCCTTTTGCGTCAGAGTGGGGTGGGGGGGAACAGAGAAGGGGTGGAGCCAAAGGGATAGAGGCCAGGGTCCGCAGGCGCAGAGGCGTCCCTGGCGCGCCTAGTCTATTCCCGCCGGGACCTGCAGGGGGCGCGCGGTGGAGGACGAAGGGCGAGGCCCGCGGCCACTGCAGCTTCGGCCCTGCCAGCGACAGCGGTAGAAGTGCACGAAGTCCGCAATCACCAGGGCCACCACCAGCAGGCTGTAGAGGCCCAGCGCTAGGAGAGAGCCTGGGCCTCTGTGAAAGAGAGGAGGGAGAGTATCGGGATCGTGCAAAAGTGCAGGACCCTAGTCCTGGGTAAATGCAGGACCCTAGTCCTGGGTAAATGCAGATTTTCACGCACGCAATTGCAAACAAATGTAGGAGCTCCCGGATAACCTTAGCGGCCCACTATACTGTGTATAACCCACGGAGTACTTGATTCTCAGTGTTGCCACCAAGACCCTCCTCTGAGCCCCCAACACATACCACAGGGCTCCCTGTTATCTGCCCGCTTTCACAGACTCCTGACACACAACCCCCCGCGCAACTAAAGAGTGCAATATCCACCCTGTACTGGAGATTGAACCCAGGGCCTTCACACTGAACTACATCCCCAGCCCGTTTTTGGGTTTTTTTGTTTTGTTTTGTTTGAACTGGGGATCGAACTCGGGTCCTTGCGCTTGCATAGCAGGCGGCGAAACCACTGAGCTAAATCCCCGGGACCCCCCCCCCAGCCCTTTTTAATTTTTTATTTTACTTATTTATTTGGTACTGGGGATCGAACTGGGCACCTTGCGCTTTCGAGGCAAGCAGCAGAACCACTGAGCTAAATCCCCGGCCCTCTTATTTTTTATTTTGAGACAGGGTCTCGGCTAAGTCGCTAAGTTGCCCAGGCTGGACTCGAATGTGTGATCCTCCTGCCTCAGCCTTCCAGAGTGCTGGGAATACAGGCGTGTGCCACCATGTCCGGCTGCCTTCACATTTTTTTGTGATCACGGTTTATGTGATTTTTTTCCCCTTTGCTCTCTGACCCTCCACAAATCTGTAAGCTACAAGCCTCCCGTCCCAGAATTTAGGAACAGAGCCAAAGATACTGGACCGCCCTGGCAGTGTCCGGGGCTGGAGCTCTTACCTGAGGACGCGTAGGGGCGGAACAGCCGATAGGTTGACCTGATACAGGGCCTCAAATTCTGGGCGGGTGCAGCAGGAGCCCCTTGCAGCCTCCAGGTGGCAGCAGTAGGCCTCCTCCCGAGAATCAGAGAGGCGAGGACAGAAGAAACCAGGATGGTGGTGGCCATCGGCATCCCGGGAGGCCTGGCACAAGTAGGGGTGGTGGATCAGCGCTGAAGAGAGAGGCGAGAGGGCTGGAGACGAGCAGGCGGCGTCTGCCCATACCCCACTACACTCAGTCGGGAGAGGAAAAGGGATCGGCCCTCGGGAAGAGAAGGGCAGCTCCCTCCCCGCTCTGGGAGCAGCCTACAAGGGGAGGGAGGGGCTGTACCTGAGCGAGAGGTGGGCTGGGCCAGGGTTCTCCAGTTGAACAGCAGCAGCAGCCCCAAGGACAGGCCTGTCAGCGAGGGCCCCGGCCTCCTCCTTTGGGAGCCCATGAGAGTCACCTGCACCTCAACCCTGGTCCTAGGAACCCCGACATCTCTCTGTCTAAACCATAGCTACAGAAAGTAAGAAATTAAAAATCAAAGAGGCTTCTCAGGCACCATTAACACAAACCCGAGGCTTTTCTACCATGGGCTTCTAGAGAAACATAAGCGACTCCATGGCTGTCATCTGCTGGAAGATGTAGGGCCTGTGGCTTCCATCTGTCCAGGGTTTTCTGAGCTGAAGGGGAGAAGGCTCAGAGGACTAGAGGAGGGTATGAGGGATGAGAGAGGAGTCGAGCCATCAGCCTGAAGATCAGACAAGCACGCAGAAGCAAACATGTTGCTCTCTAACCACTCTAATTTCTAGGCTGCAGTGAAGCCCTGGGAATCCTGACAATTCCATTTGAGGCCCCAGAGACCTCAGTTCCAGCCATGGGACTTCCCTCCCTAACCACGAAACATAACAACCACGAAGCCCAGCTGAAAACCAAGGGCTTTCTTTTTTGGTTTTTGCTCTATGAAACTTCCCTGTAAAGTGGGGTCCTAGGCTACCCAGTTGACATGCCTCCTGCCTCTCAGGAGCTATCCTCCCAATAAATATTTCCCACTCTTAGCCTCTGTTGTTTCTAGAATTCATCAGACCTCTAACAGGTTGGGAATTATATTTCCCTTTTATCATTTGGAGGTCCTATTTCATCTCCTATATTGTCCCTGTATCACAATGACTGGTGATTCTAGGCATCAGTCCAGGGAGTCTGGAACTGGATCCTGTAAAAGTTGATTGTTGGATGGATATCCCTGCAAATCCTGAAAATTACTTCAGTTACTCTGGGTGTGATTGGTCTTGAAGGACAATGGGACAGGCTAGGTGAGTTTAGGGCCAAGAAATCAATGCATTCCTAGTTTTTAGACAGAGACTCCTTAAGTGATGAACATACCTACATGCAGAGCTGAGCAGGGAGCTGACCCCAAATTATAAGGTAATAAAGGAGACAGATACAAAGAGGAAGGCAGAGTTGGGCATGGTGGCACAGGCCTGTAGTCCCAGCACTTGGGATTACTTCAAGTTCAAGGCCAGTCTGGATTGTATGGTGAATTCAGGGGCAAACTGGAATACATAGCAAGACCTTGTCTCAAAATTAAATTAAATTAAATTAAATTAAATTTAAAAAGAAGGCAGAGATGCTAAGCTTCATCCTACTTTTAGTTACCCATTGGGTATCTGCAGATGGGTCTTACAAAGGAAGCCCTTTGGGGGATCCCGCCCGGTCTCTTATCGCTCTTATCTCATGGCTGCCATTCTTAAAGCAGGGAATTTCCCCAGAAGGCCCAAGGCCACCAGCCAGCAGAGTTGTTATTCCAGTGTTTACCCAAGCCAGACAACGAGGTGCTCCCAGAACAGCAGGGAGGAGACTCATCACCCCAGGGGCCCCCAGCCGGTTCATGGGGACTGAAGCCGGAGATCCTTACAGCACGAGAAAGCAATGTAAATTTTGTCCTATGTAAATTTTGTCCTAACGCTAAGAACAACGACATCCCGTGGGGAAACATCGCTGCTGCCTGGGAGCCTGAATCTGAAGCAGTTAGGCAATGTCCCAGGTCAAGACTCATTTTTGCAAAATTCAGGACCTATGGGCCGCCGGGGATTTAGTTCAGTGGTTCCACCGCCTACCTTGCAAGCGCAAGGACCTGAGTTCAATCCTCGGTACCAAAAAAACAAAACAAAAATTCAGGCCCTACGATCTCCTAGCCCCACAGTAGTAGGGCCCGCAGTTGCAGGGATAACTATTTTTAGAGCACTTTGAAAGTTTTCGCTGCATTGACAGGTTGAAGATTGTCTTTTCCTCCTGGGAGTGTTCTTTATCCATGTAGACCCTATAGTCCCCTGTGCCTTTCAGCCCTGAATGTGCCTTTCAGCGCAGCTCTTGGAGGCTGCAGACTTCGCAGCTCGAAAGCACCGACCGCAGAGGCGGAAGGATCCCGAAGGAACCCCCTACGTCAACCACCCCATCGATGGACACGCACTGTGAGGCCACTGGCCGATTTCTTGTTTGTCCCTGCCGCTCTCCAAGACCGTGGGCTCCCAGAGAGCCAGGCTGAACAAGGGCCTGCGGTACTGCAGGATCTCCCTACACCAGTTTTCTCTGTGCCTAGGACCTCAGCCAGGAGAGGGACTCTTCAGTTGCAGCAACCCTCGGGCCTCCGGCGTGCCAGGGGGCGCTGCAGGAGCTCTGCCCAGCATCACCGGCTTCTGCCCTCCGCGACACCCGCGCTATGGACTCAGAGGTCGCGCAGCTCTTAGAGGCTGCAGACTTTGCGGCTCGAAAGCACCGACAGCAGAGGCGGAAGGATCCCGAAGGAACCCCCTACATCAACCACCCCATCGGTGGGCCCGCTGGCCCCGCTGGCCCGGGAGCCCTGGCGTCTGAGGGGTGGTGGGGACTGGGAAGGGACGGCGGAGGCACGCACCTCACTGAGCATCTCGTTTGTTCCAAGCTTTGCGTCAGACACAGATCATTAGGTGTGCCGTTTAACGACAACCCAGGGAGGGTAGGCATGATTGTACTCTTGGCACAGTTGGCTGAGGGAGAGGGTAATGGACTTACAGGGTCACCCAGTTAGTGAGGGGCCGCATCCACAATATTGCGTCTTCCTCCCGTCTGACTTGCTGCTTTGCCCCGCCAGGTGTGGCTCGGATCCTGACCCACGAGGCAGGAATCACTGACATTGTGGTGTTACAGGTAACTTTACCCCTTGGCTACCAGGAAGCTCGGGTGGGAGTCCCGTTGCTGCACCCCTCCACTGGCATCACAGGGGTCACTGGGAGCTTGTCTCCAGGCGGCTCTGCTCCACGACACCGTGGAAGACACAGACACCACCCTGGATGAGGTGGAGCTGCACTTTGGAACCCAGGTACGGAGATTGGTGGAGGAGGTGACTGATGACAAAACTCTGCCCAAGCTGGAGAGGAAGCGGCAGCAGGTGGAGCAGGCGCCACGCAGCAGCCCAGGTGCCAAGCTGGTGAAGCTGGCAGACAAGCTGTACAATCTGAGGGACCTGAACCGTTGCACCCCGGCCGGTACGCTTCCCACTGGCTCTGAGGGATGGGAAGGGGTTGTCTCCCATCTGCAGATGGGTTGGTCAGTTCTCCCAAAAAAGGCCTGGGCATGCGTAATTCCCCAAAAGAATCCTAAAATGGGCTTTTGGGGGGGCAGGCCAATAAAATATTGCAACTTTTGTTTAAAACAAAACACAACTTGGGCTGGGGATTTAGCTCAGTGGCACCACACCTGCCTTGCAAGTGCAAGGTTCTGAGTTTGATCCCTGGTACCAAAAAAACAAAACAAAACCCCAAAACAAAAAAAACTTTTAAAAACACAACTTGCAAACTGTGGGACAACAGGCAGAGCCCTTTCAGGGGCATCATTTATTTACATCAAGTTTAACACTGTTAGCAGTTCAGAGACAACAGAGTAAGAATTAAATTAGGAAAACAAAACAACTGAAAATATATTACAATAACAATAAAGAGCAAATATCTGACAAGACCGGTAGTGGGATCCATGACTGACATAGTTAAATCCCATATCACCTCACTGTCCTTCGTCCCCTTAGCAATGCATGTGGTGCCCTATACTCCCAATGCCGCATACACCTTTGCTATAAACATTGAGTTTTTGGCCGGGGATTTAGCTCAATGGTTTCACCACCTGCTGCGCAAGCGCAAGGACCGGAGTTCGATCCCCAGTACCAAAAAAAAAAAACATTGAGTTTTAAGAAATTTGAATTGGCATGTTTTAGGACAAAGTTCTGTTAATCATCATGAAGTGTACAAACTTACTTTTACCAAGCACAAAATTGGAGTTTCTTCACTGAGAGTCATTACAGAATCTTTCCTAAGGCTAACACAATAGCTGGGCCAATGGAAGTTTACAGGACAGATCATCCCATCGGGAGCTCATGGGCCTGCACCAAGCCCTCCAGCAAGGGGTAAAAGCCCACGCTGTCCCTGACACCCCATGAGCAGGCTTCTCCCTACTCTTTCGCAGGATGGTCTGAACATCGTGTCCAGGAGTACTTCGAGTGGGCAGCACAGGTGGTGAAGGGGCTTCAGGGAACCAACCAGCAGCTGGAAGAGGCTCTAAAGCAGCTGTTTAAGGAGCGTGGGCTGACAATCTGAGCAGTGCCTGGAGCCACCTGGAGGCTTGGACTCCAATCTCACCCAGCCCCCACCCCCCATTCATGCTCCAGTTCTTTGGGGCCTCCTGACTGCCCTCCCTCTCTCCTTTACTCAGCCCACATGCCAAAGGTTAAAGCCATGAGCATTTTCTCTGAAGAGAACCAACAAAGCTGAGCCCTGGATGTGGGGATCAGGTGTACCCCATCCATTTCGACTTCCCATCTGTTTGCTATTTTGCATGGTGGGCTCTCTAGCCCCTCAGGGACTTTCCTTGTATAAACATTGGTTTATAAGTCGTTATGGAAAATAAAGCATTTTGGGTAAAAGGTTTAAATTGCCTCTACTCCTCCTTCTCCAGCCTCCTGAATGGGGGACTGATATGCGGGTTGCCTGTTGTCCCTAAGCAAGGTATGATGCTAATTGTGTACCTCAACCCCTCCAAGCCTGGCTTCCTCAGCAGTGAGGTGGATCGTGTAATTATCAGGGTTAGATTATAGGACATTTCAGAAGGAGCCTGACATGGGGACGCTCATGAAGGGGTCCTCATTAGGATAGCTGGGAGGAATGAGAGCTGCGTCCCTGGCTGGACACTGGAGAGACCCCAGAAGTCACTTGGTAAGGCCTGTGGAGGACTTCCGGCCCCAGAAACTCGGTGATTGGCAGCTTCCCTCTGCGCTCTGGGTTAGCGGGTTTCTTCGGTTGCTAAGCAGCAGGAACTTCCAGACGCTCCCTCAAAGGGGCCTGAGGAAGCCCCGCCTACGGAGGCCAGCTGGAGGTGGAGTCTAGCGGGCAGAATCCACCCCAAGAGACCTCCCTTGGGGTTTTGTGAGTCCGCTAAGTCGCTGAGGCTTTGGTACCGGGGATCGAACTCAGGACCTTGAGCTTGCGAAGCAGGCATCGGGACCACTGAGCTAAATCCCCGGCCCTCCACTGAGGCTTCCTAAGCTTCCTTGGAAAGTGATCGTTTAGGGGATGAGGAAATTTAGGTCAGATGGACTACGGTGGTTATTTCCCCCAAAGAAGGTCCTACGGCGGGGTTCTTCGAAAAAATAGATACAGGGCAACAAAGCTGGTTTTGAAAGAAAACGAGTTTCAGCATGATCCCAGATAAAAAGATAAACGGCTTTCGATGTAATCCTCTTAAAGCGCACCAGACTATGATGCCTTTTGGTTTTACATTTTTTTAGAAAATCACTTTTGCTGGAGCGGGATTACATGAATTTTTTTTTAACTTTACACTTAAGATACCTCCTAGAGGGCCAAGGATTTAGCTCAGTGGTTCCACTGCCTGCCTAGCAAGCGCAAGGACCCAAGTTCAATCCCCAGTACCAAAAAATAAAAAAGAAGATACCTCCTAGGCCAGGCATGATCTCAGCACTTGGGAGGCTGAGGCGGGAGGGTTGTGTGAGTTTGAGGCCAGCCTAAAGGCCCCACCTCTTAACGCTATCACATTGGAGACTGTTTTTGTTTTGGTATGGGGGACTGAACTGGTGACCTTGCGCTTGCAAAGCAGGCAGTGGAACCACTGAGCTAAATTCCTGGCCCTGGAGACTAGATTTTAACATGAATTCTGAAGGGACACAGATAAACAGTGTGGCATCCTTACAAGGAAACCCACGTACTTCCTCCTCCACTACAGGACCTTCTCTTCAACCCTGTTATATTCCAAATACTAAGGAGTCATCTGTTCTACACAAGCTTTCTGTGCCTAGATTGCCCTAATTCCAGGGTCTTCACTTTTTCCCCCCAGGTTCTTTACTTTTAATTCAGATTTATTCTCAGGGAAGTCCGAAGTTGGAGCCCAAATGGATGGAGAGTCTCTGCAGAGCCAGTTGGTCCTGGTTGCTATCTGAATTTATTCCCCACTTACCTTAGGTGAAACTTCGGGGCCTGTGAAGGGTCTCTCTGGTGTCATTCCATCACTACAAGGACCCTTGATATTTGTCCCTGCATACCTTTCATTAGGGAAGAACAAAGATCTTGTTTCTGAGTAAGCAGGTGAAGGTCCTGTTAGAGATATAGCACTCGCTGAACAGGTGTTCAAGATTATCCCTATGTCATAGGAAAGCCACACCCAAATGTTCTCAGGGCTGATCACCATGCACCTGAGGACCCAGCTCCTTCGTGGTGGAGGGTTGCAGGCAGGAATAGAATTTTATCCATTTCCAGGGGCTGAAGTTTGTGTTGTGTCCTGGTTCCAATTTTGTAGTCCTCAGAACTGTGGCCTCAGTGCCAGAGCTCCATGGTTGAGTTGCTGCTTGCCTTAAAATACACTCATTTCCAAATTATGCGCTTACCTGGGTGCTTGTCAAAATGGAAGTTCTTTGGCCCCTTCTCCAGACTGATTCAAGCACTGTACCCAGGATCCTTTTTCCTTCCTATGCATGAAAGCAAGCTTGTTTCTTGCTTCTGTTATACATCAGTCTCAGGGCAGTTATGACTTGCCCTACACATCCCTGAAACACCCAGGCTGAAGCAGCCCCTAGGAGGCTGTGTGTGTGTGTGTGTGTGTGTGTGTGTGTGTGTGTGTGTTACTGGGGACCACAGGCCCTTGGGCATGCTAGGCAAGCACTCTAGCACTAAGCTGCATCCCCAGTTCTTTTAAAAATTTTGAGTCTCATTAAGTTGCCCAGGCTGCCCCTCAACTTGCAATCCCCCTGTTTCTGCCTCCTGAATAGCTGGAATTATAGCCATGTGTTACCATGCTGGGCTGAACTTTCCATAACCAATTCTGGTTACAATGGGCCACATTTTTAACACAGCTTAGCTGATTTTAAAAGGCTAGTGTAAACACAGGTCTGCCAGATGAATAACTTCACTGCACATCTAAGACCTCCAAATATTCTTTATTCTGCTAATTTAAGGGTTCACAGATTCTCACCTATCATTTGATTACAATAATATTTGCTCTGATTACTTAGCATTCTTTACTAATATTATGACTCATATTTGTGTAGCTCTTCTATGGCCCATGCACTACACTAAGCACTTCCGGTTGATCCTATTTCCTCCGTGAGACAGGCAGGACTCCAAGGACTCTTCAAGATCTGCAGGAACTCAGCTCTGTCACTCTTGAGTGTTCAGGTGGCTGCCTGGAAGGCCCCAGTGACTCAGATCCCACAGCAAGCTTTTCTCCTAAATTGTACTAATTTTTTCTTTAATGTTTCCTCCCGTGTCTGACGTATCTTCTAATCTTCATGCTTCCCACAGCACAAAACATTTTCAGGGTTTTGTTTTGTTTTGTTTTTGGTGGTGGTAAAAGCTGTTATCTTCTTCCTTATTATGTCTCTTAGGGTTCATGTTTAGAAAAGACTCTTCCACATCACAGGTATAAAAATATTTTTTCTTGAGTAATTTTGTCATTTTATTTTGTTTTTTCACTCTAGAACTAATTTTTGTGGAAACTGAGGTAGAGATCTAACTCTGATAGCTAGTTGTCTCAAAGTACTGTTTATTAAATAATCCATTTTCCCCCACTTAAAATCCTTTTTATTGTATACAAAATTCTTGTGTTGCAGGATCTGTTCGTGGACTTTCCGTATTGTCCCTTTGGTCTGCCTGACACAGTCTGTCACATTGACTGAATCCACGCCCACAGGAAAGTCCTTTGGGAAACAAGTCCCATTTCCCCCTCAGCACCACCCCGACTCCCATCCATTGCCACTCAGAAGTGTCTTGGTTTCTCCCACCTTTACTCTTCCAAATGAACTTTGGAACCAATTAAATCCCAAAAAGTATTCAATCTTGCTGGAATTACATTGAATTTATGGGCTGAAGTGGGAAGAACCAAGATCTTTGCAGGAACGTGTAGCATTGGGTCAACTTATGGAAAGCTCTTACTAGGTCTTTTTGATTCTCTTAGACTTTACTGATAGGCAACTTTATTGTCTACAAATAATGGAATATAATTCTTCCCTATCCCCTCATCTGCCTTACTGCAGGGGTGAGTGGAGCCAGGACACTGCTACATAACCGCAGGGCCCTGGCTAGTTCCTGACTCTCACGGGGATGCCTGTGGTGTCTGACTCTTTAGAATCCCTGACAGAGACCTTTGTGTAGATTAGGATGTTTCTTCTTGTCTAAGAGTTTTTTGTTGTTGTTGGTGGTGGTGTTTTTTGTTTATTTGTTTGGTACTGGGGATAGAACTCGGGACCTTACACTTGCGAGGCAGGCAGCAGAACCACTAAGCCAAATCCCTGGCCCTAGTCTAAGAGGGTTTTTTTTGTTTTTGTTTTTGTTTTTGGTACCAGGGATCGAACTCGAGTCCTTGTGCTTGCGCCGCAGGCGATGAAACCACTGAGCTAAATCCCCGGCCCTAGTCTAAGAGTTTTAATAAAGGATGGATTATAAATTTTACCAAATATCTTTTCAGCATCTGAAGAGACTGAATTTTTCTCTACTGATTGAAGCTGAAATAAAAGCTCATAAGCAGTCCTATTGGCTCCTAATTTAGGCTCCATATCCCTCATCCATGCCAGGAATGGAACACTTCTGTCCAAAGGTGGTGAAGCCCCAAGGCCTGCCTGTCAGGCATGGTGCCAGAAGTCTTCCCAAGCTACCCCAGCACTCAGGGTCTTAGAGCCTCACTTTCTTTCATAAGGAAGGAAATTTCTAGGGCCAAACCCCCAGGACAGAAAGGAGATCTTGGGGTCAGTAGTGCATGAATTAAAGGGAACAAAGAGGAGTCAGGTAGGGAGGAAGAACTCCCCATACACCCTTCTCACCACCCCAACCCCAAGTCACAGACCCATTGCCGTCTGAGGTGGGAATTTTGGTACCTGAACTGTCCTAACACTTCTGCTCATATGCCTAACAACTCCTTCTGGTCACCCTGTGGACCCTAGCCAGGGCATGCAGGCCCAGTGGCATTGAGAGTAGAGACTCAAAGAAAGCAGTGAGGCCCTCAGGCCCTTAGGAGAAACAGGGATTCCTTCTCCTCCTCCATCCCACTGACAACTGCCAGTCCCCATCTGTCTCCCCCCGGAACTGCTCTCATCTTGTTCCTCACACCGAGATAAGTGGCCTCTACACCACCACAGGACCCCCAGAGCCAGCCCTTGCCTATAGTTACCTATGTGGGCTGCTACCCACTTAGTCTCTCTGACCGCCTCCGTCTGCCCCTGTACCTCCTACATCCCATTTTGGGAAAAGGGTGGGTGTCTGGACTGGGGCCCAGCTGGGCAGCCACTCACCACCCGAAGCAGACCCTGGCGTAGCAGGCCCTGACCAAGGGCCCCATCTCCAACACCTCACCGCATCTGCCCTACCTGCCCATGGCTGGGCATGTGGTTGCCCCAAACACAGAAGCAACTAAGAACAGAAAGCAAGGGCAGAGCCCAGTCTGTCACAGTTCCGAGAGGCAGATGGGATAGGATACCCGGGGTGGCAGTCTCCATGGACGAACTTCTCTTTAGGCCACAAGAAGCCCTAACCCAAGCGGAGGCGAAAGGTGGCGATCTCCATGGGGTCCACATAGAGGTCCGTGCTGTTGGAGGGTGAGGCCAGTGGGTACAGCAGGGTCAGGGAGGTTGGCTGCAGGAATACCACGTCCAGGCCGTGGAAAAGGCTTCCCAGGGCCACCTGTGGGAGAGAAAGGGTGGGGTCTACGGGCTGCTGCCACACCAGCTAATAAGCTCTTCACCTACATCACTTCTCTTTCTAAGAATCAGAAGGGGCAGGAACCAGATCAGGGTGTCTGCTCTTACCACCCTTATTCAGTACAGTTCTTGAAATTTTATCCAGAGCAATTAGGCCAGAGAAAAAAAGAAAAGGGATACAAACAGGAAGGGAAGAGTCATATTATAATTGTTTGGAGATCATATCATCCTATACTTACAAGACCAAAAAAGACTGTTAGAGCTGATAGAGGAATCCAGCTATATAGCAGGACATAAAATTCAATATTGGGGCCAGGGATTTAGCTCAGTGGTTTCGCCGACTGCTGCACAAGCGCAAGAACCTAAGTTCGATCCCCGGTACCAAAAAAAAAAAAAAAAAATTCAATATTGATCAATGGTTTAGCCAGCTATGGTGCCACACACCTGTAATCCCAGCACTCTGGGAGACTAAGGGAAGAAGATCACAAGTTCCAGACCTGCCTGGGCAACTTAGTGAGACCTTGTCTCAAAGTAAAAAAAAAAAAATGTAAAGGAGGAGGGGCTGGGGTAGTTCAGTGCAAAGGTCCCAGGTCCAATTCCCAGTAATGGGGGGAAAAAGTCAATAGCTTTACTATATACCAATGATAGACTAGCTGAAAAAGAAATCAGGAAAGTAATTCCATTCACAACAGCTTCCAATAAAATCAAATACCTAGGGATCAATCTAGCCAAGGTGAAAAACCTCTGCAATGAAAATTTTAGAACACTGAAGAAAGAAACTGAAGTAGACACCAGGAGATGGAAAGACCTCCCATGTTCACAGATTGGTAAAATACCATATTACCGAAAGTGATCTACAGATCCAATGCAATTTCAATCAAAATGCCAATGACATTATTCACAGAACTAGGAAAAACAATCCGAAAATTCACTTGGAAACACAGACTATCCAGAGTAGCCAAATCAATTCTACACAGTAAGAGCAGGGCTAGAGGCATCACAATTCCCAATTTCAAATTATATATATAACCACAGTAACAAAAACAGCATGGTATTGGCACATAAATAGGCACGCTGACCCATGGAATAGAATAAAGGCCACACAACCAAACCCACACAGCTACAGCCATCTGATTTTAGACAAAGGAGCCAAAAATATACGTGGAGAAAAGACAGCCTCTTTCACAAATAGTGCTGGGAAAACAGGCCATCCATTTGAAGAAGACTGAAACTAGATTCCTATCTCTCACCCTGTACAAAAATTAGTTAAAATGGGTCAAAGACATAGGTATTAGATTTGAAACTTTGAAGCTGCTAAAAGAAAACATAGGGGAGCACTCAAAGCCACAGGCACAGGCAAAGACTTTTTGAATAGGACTCCAACAGCACAGGAAATAATGATAAGAACCAACAAATGGGACTACATCAAACTAAAAAGTTTCTGCACAACAACAGAATGAAGAGATAGCCTGAAGAATGGGAGAAAATCTTTACCAGTTACTCTTCTGACAGGATAATACTGTACCTAGAAATATTAATATATAGAAAATAAATTAACACCAAAAAATAAATAGCCCAATCAATAAATTGGCAAATGAACTGAACAGACATTTCTCCAAAGTACAAATGACAGAGGCTGGGAATTTAGCTAGGTGGTTCTACCGCCTGCCTCGTAAGCACAAGGTCCCAAGTTCAATCCCTGGTACCAAAAAAATTTTTTAAAATAAAAATAAACAAAAAGAATACAGGGCTGGGGATTTAGCTCAGTCGTTCTGGAGCCTGCCTCAAAAATGCAAGGTCCTGAGTTCAATCCCCAGTAGAAAGAAAAGAAAAGAAAGAAAGAAAGAAGGAAAGAAAGAAAAGAAAAGAAAAGAAAAGAAAAGAAAAACAGGGCTGGAGATTTAGCCCAGTGGCACTGCATCTGCCTGGCAAGCACAAGGTCCCGAGTTCAATCCCCAGTACCCAAAAAAAAAAAAAAAAAAAAAAGAATACAGAAAACAACAGTGCCGGCAAGGGTGTAGGGATGGAGTGAGGGGAAGAACCCTTTTACACTGCTGGTGGGAACATAAATTCATACAGCCATTATGGAAATCAGTATGGAGGTTCCTCAAAAAACTAAAACAGAGCTACCATTTGATCCAGCTATACCACCCCTTGGTACACACCTGAAGCAGTGAGTCAGTGTACTACAGGGATGCCTCGCTACCCGTGTTTATTATGGCACAATTCATAATAATCAAGATATGAAACCAGCCTAGGCAACCATCAACCGATGAATGGGTAGAGAAATGTATATATACACAATGGAGTGTTATTCAGCCATAAGGAAGAACAAAATTCTGTCATTTTCTGGAAAATAGATGAATCTGCAAAGCATCATGTTAAGCAAAATAAGCCAGACTCACATAAATACTGCACATTCTCCCTAATACAAGGAATCTAAAAAAGATGACAAGAAAGAGGGCAGATCATTATTAACCAAGAGGAAAGGAATAAGGGGGAGGGCAAGGGCAGGTAAGGGAGGGGAATGGGGGGAATGGATATGAGCAAAATATACTATATGCACTGTAACCCCCCAAAAATGTGAAACTAGGGGGAAGGGTGAAGCAAAGCGGGGAATGGGGAATGGTAATGATCAAAGTATGCTAGGTGCATGTACAACTCTGCCAAAATGAAACCCATGAAACTGTATGACTAATAAGAGAAAAAGAGTGAAAAAATACTAATCTGAAGGGCTGGGGTACAGCTTAGCAATGAGTGCTTGCTTAGCATGTGCTAGGCCCCAGTTCTGTCCCCAGCACTGCAGGAAAAACAAACCTGCCAGGATCGCCGACCTTTCAGGAGCACTGCACTTTCACACATGCATCTGCAGCCAATCTCAGGCTCACGAGATTCGCTCAACCCCAAAGCCTGTCCATGGATCTCAGGGTGGGAATTGTCACAGCCAGCTGTGCATTTTTGAGAACAGGGACCATGTCGTGGTCGCTTTTGCATCAGTGGCGCCTAGCCCATGGCCTGGCACATGGGGGCATTTATCAGTGCCCACTGAGACCATGGGTAGAGCTTACAGAGGAAAACGCTCTGGGTGTTGGTTATTTCTGGTGCTTTCTAGTTCGCCTGGTACAGATCCCTATCCCTTGTCTGGAACTGTCCTGTCAGGCCTCAGTAACTGCAAATGCATGCCAGCTGCTTTCCCCCTTTCTTTCCAATGCCCACCTGTAACTCTTTCTCTCTTTTTTTTTTTTTTTTTTGGGTACCAGGGATCGAACTTGGATCCTTGTGCTTGCACAGCAGGCAGCAAAACCACTGAGCTAAATCCCTGAGCTAAATCCCTGGGCCCCTCTCTTTCTTTTTGAAACAGGGTCTCACCAAATCACTAAATTGCCCAGGATGGCCTGGAACTTGCAGTCTTTCTGGCTCAGCCTCCAACAGTGCTGAGAAGTACAGGACGGTGCCTGTGACCTCCACAGCCCCCAGTGTGATCTCTCTCCTTAGGACCTGGGCACACACATCCACGTCTACCCCAGACCTACTCACAAATAAGTTCCTAGAGCCAGCAACTCTGTGCCTCTGCTACTGCCACTGGGCCTGGCCTGGCATAATACTTCTTCCTCCCATCCTGCCACCCAGCCCACTCTGCCCAGCCACCTCCAGCACTGGACTTCTCTACCCGCCTCTCCACAGAGCTCTGCCTCCCACACATGGGCCTGCTCACCTTGCCTTGGCTTGTGGTGCAGTTGAATCCCAAGTTCTTGGCCTCAAGGCCGCAGTCAAAACCTTTGCGGTGTAAGATGAGCGCAGTATCTGCTGAAGGCAAGTTATCCTCCTGGGAAAGGGACAGGATTTGGGCAGTGAAGGGCAGCCTGGCATGGAGCCAAGGGAGAGGCCAGAATTTGGCCCTGGAGGTCAAGGCTGAGCGGGGTGCTCACCTCGGCCTGGAACATGCGCAGGTTGAGCAAATGGAAGTCGCAGGGCAATGAGGAAGCCAGAGGAAGAAAGGCTCGCAGACTGGGCCCTGGGGATGGCATCTGGGTGACGGGCAGGGTGAACACTGGGGTGTTCAGGTACATGGAGGTCAGGTGGCTGAGGAGGGATGGGTAGCTGGTAGAGTGGCTGTCCTGGACCTGTGGGAGGGGCCAAGGGGTAGGTGAGGGCATAGCCAGGCTGTGGGCAAAGGGAGGCTGGCACAGCACATCCAGGCCACCTCTTTTGCAAACAGCCTTCCTGGTAGGTCTAGCTCCAGGCCTTGTACCTCTAACCCTTCATGTGTGCCTACTTCCCATGGTGTCCAATTCAGAGAGGCCACTTCTTTCAAGTATTTTTTTGCTTCCGTAACATTGTCATGACCAGCACAGTCTCATCAGTGACATAGCCCATTAGCAATAGAAAGACAGAGACCCTCATTGTAGCCAGGGAATGTAGACCGATGTACCCTTCTGTTTACACATGTGGGACAGAAGGGTGGGAGATGAGCATCTGATGGAGAAAGTGGTCCTAGTCATCTGGGGTCCCCAGGAGGCCCCACATCCGCAGTGCGAGCCTGGTGCTCAGGGCCCTGGCCTCTGTGGCTCTGCCCTTGATGCCACATTCACAGGCTTATGTACAATTGTCCTCCAAAGCCCCTGCTCTCTGTCTCTGATTTCTGGCCCTAGCATGCCCAGAATCTCACTTCCCTCTCCCCTGACCATGACTTCTCCCCACCCAAGGCTTAGTTCAAGTCCAAGCCACCAATACTTCCTATTTGAACAGCCTTTAAACTGTCCACCTGCTCCCTGCAGTTGGGGTCATTCACTGAGGACACAGTCCTGACAGTGTCCCTCTTGCTCTGACCCTTGTCTGGGGACCTTGGCTCTGTGGCGAGGCATTCATAGCCACTGCTATCAGCCTAACCATCCTGCTATGCTTGAGCCCAGCACCGGCCACAGAGCCTCCTGCACAGAAATTCACTGCATCTGTACTTCTAAACGGTAGCACTTGAGGCCACTGAGGAACGAAATGTGCCCGACAGGGGTGAAAAACTGATCCTTTATTTGCTGTTAATTCACTAGGACAGGCCCATGAGGCTGTCAGCTACCACACAGGACAGCACAGCTCTGGTTTAACTGAAGAAACCTGGTGCCAGTCCCCATTCATGTATCTTCGGGCTCCCACCCGGTGCCCTGGCATCCATCAAAGCCAAGCCGGACCCACACCTCTTCCAGGATGGTGCCTGTGACCTCCGCAGCCCCCAGTGTGATCTCTCTCCTCAGGACCTGGCCACACGTCCATTTCTACCCCAGCCCTACTCACAAATAAGCTCCTAGAGCCAGCAACACTGTGCCTCTGCTCCTAGCATGGCTAGGGCTCAGTGTGTGTGTGTGATGGGCATGGCTGAGCCACAGACCCTAGGGCACCAGGCAATGGACTCCAACTACAGGGACAGCTTGCTGGGACTGGCCCACCCTTACCTCTCGGTCACCGCTCCTGCTGCTGGGAAAGATCAAGCCCCTAAACATGGCTGCCAGTTTGCAGAAAAAGCCAGGCTGGTGGGGCAAAGAAAGCCATGAGATGAGCCGGGACAGGCAAAAGGTTAGAGAATGCTGGGGCTGGGGCAGGGTGGGGGCAGCAGGGAGGAAGACAGTAGACAACACAGGGGCACAGGCGACAGTGGGGGTGGCAGGGTGCATGAGATGGTCAGGGAGACGCAGACAGCTGCCTGCCACAACCCGGGATTGGCCCTGCTCTGCCTGTCTCTGCCTCTCTCCTCTAGGGAGGGTCCTCGAGCCTGAGGCTGTAATCCCCTCTCACCCTTCGACAAGCCTATGCTGGCCACTGGGCACCAGGCCCAGGTTTACCTCACTGCCCACGGTTCGTCGTTCAAGTAGAAGGCGGAAATGGTTCCAGGTTCTCTTATTGTCCTTGAGCCCTTGGCCCAGGCCTCGGTTATCATCCTGCATCAGCCGCCTGTCCAAGATCACCTCCAGCTGACCTGGGGGAGGAAGGAGTGAGCCCAGCCTGCCACCCCACCCCAGAGTGGACAGCTTCCAGGGGCAAGTCCCAGACACAGCCCCAAGGGAAAAGCCTGGGACAGAAACCAGGAGCTCAGGCACTCAGAGGCTGGAGCTGGGAGGGCTGAGAGACAGTGGCCCTGAGACCCTGTCTCACAGATGATGAAACGGCAGGCCCAGAGAGGGTAGTCATGTTCTGTGCCTCAGAAGCAGGGCCCAGGTCCAGCAGCCCCAGCAGGAAGCCCTATCTGGACTGATCCAGCAGGGCACTGAGAGCAGCACCACATCCAGGGTCACCGCAGATTCCATCTCTGGGGCAGATTTCTCAGGCTGAGACTCAAACCACCTCCTGCCTGTGTTCTACACGGCAGGGGACAGCCAGAAGGTTGGCGAGCCAGGCGTCTGTCAGAAGTCAGGCTGTGGCAAGGACAGCCAGACAGTGGATGAGGAGAAGCTGATGTCCGGGATGCCCGGGGGCACACAGATGGCTGATGGCCACCCACCTCAGCTTCCCTTCTTCTCCTTTGTTTTCAGTACTGGGGATTGAACTCAGTCCCCTCTGAGTTATATCCTCAGTCCTTTTAAATTTTTTTCTAATTTAAGGCATGGTTCTATTAAATTGCTTGGGCTAGGCTCGAACTTGCCTCCTTCCTCAGCCTCCCACAGTGCTGGGATTATTGCTGAGTACCATCATGAATGGCTTCCACTGCTTTTTTGTTTGTTTGTTTGTTTTTTGCAGTGCTAGGGATCAAACCCAGGGTGTCACACATGCTAGGCAAGTATTCTGCCACTGAGCCCCAGCCCCAGCCCCTCCTCTGCTTTTTGGAACGTGCCTGTGGCTCACTGTGAAGCTGACAGATGCTTGGATGAGTATTTTCCTCAGCTTTGTTGTTTTGTTTCGGAGACAGGGTCTCACTCAGGCTGGCCCTGAACTCAGTATGTAGCCCAGGCCAGCCTCAAACTTGGAATCCCCCTGTCCCTCCTGAGTGCTGGGATCACACACTTGCACTACCACACCTGGCTTTTCCAGGTCTCCTGACAAAAGCCCACACCACCTCTCCCCTCAGATGCCCGGTCCTCCCTGTCATCTCCACAGCCCTCCTTCTGACTTCTGTACTTCCTTCCGCCTCTCACCCTCAGCTATCACAGGAAGCCATTACCCAACACTGAAATGGATCCTTTGTATCTTTTCTTAACACACCACACCCAGAGGAGCCAGGGACACTGGGCTACAGCCAGGAGTCACAAGGCAGATGGGCCCGGCCGCTCCCGGCAGAGGGCAGCGGGGCCACACTCCCCCTGCAGGACCCCCACCCTCCAGCCCTGAGAGGCACTGAGCTCAGCCTGCACAAAGGCCCTATCTCACAGAGGGGGGATAGCAAGGGCCTCAGAGGCCACCAGGTCCAAATTTCATCTTGCCCTGAGGCTCTGGGAGCCACCCACAGCCTGCCCAGCATGACATGCTGGCCAGCTTCATCTCCAGAACAACGCTCCTCACACCCTCTTTTTTGGGGGAGTCTTGCTATGTACTCCAGGCTGGCTTTAAACTCACTATGTAGTCCAGGCTAGATTCAAATTTGCAGCACTCGGACCGGGGATTTAGCTCAGTGGTTTCACTGCCTGATACACAAGCACAAGGACCCGAGTTCAATCCCCAGTACAAAAAAAAAAAAATCTGCAGCACTCTTACTGCTTCGGCCTCTCAAGTGATGGGATTGCAGGTGTGTACCAATGCGGCCGGCTTGGATGTGTTCTTTTTGTGTGTGTGTGTGGTACCAGGGACTGAACTCGGGTCCTTGCACTTGCAAGGCAGGCAGCGGAACCAATGAGCTAAATCCCCAGCCCTGGATGCATTCTTAAGAATTAAACCAGCAGGGTATGGTGGTATATGCCTTAATTCCAGCTAGGTCACAAGTTCAAGTCCAACCAGAGTAATTTGGGAACTTTTTTGGCAGGGAGGGTACCGGGGATCGAACTCGGGTCCTTGCGCTTGTGCAGCAGGCAGTGAAAACACTGAGCTAAATCCTCAGCCTATAATTTGGAAACTTAAGAGTGATGCTGTCTCAAAATAAAATGAAAAAAGGGCTGGGGATGTAGCTCAATGGGAAGGCCCTGGCTTCAATCTCTAGTACTGGGGGTTTAAACAAAAAAGTTCAGGGCTGGGGATTTAGCTCAGTGGTTCTGGTGCCTGCCTCGAAAGCAGAAGGTCCTGAGTTCGATCCCTGGTACCAAAAATAAAAAATAAAAAGTTCATCCTCTCTTTTGTCTCTTTTCCTAAATATTTCACTAAAATATTGAGTGTGCTTTCAAATTGCCCCTACAGGCACCCCTGGCCAGGAGAAGGGTCACACACCTCAGCTAAGAGTCACCATTCCATACCCGGTGCCTCCTGGATCTCACGGGACCCCCACCATGGGGTGCCTGTGTCAGGGGAGAGGGTAACAGCAGTGCCTGTCACCCTGTGTCCAGGGAGACCAGCAGGAGCTGTGGATGCTCCCTTGTCCCTTCTCTAACAGGGAGGTGACGCTGACGGAGAAGTGAGGAGACAAGGCCGTGGTAGGGGACAGGCCTTGACAGTAGGGGCTGCTTTCCACTGCATACCCCCGAGGGGCTCCTGCTCCTTACTCACCATTGCCGAGGCTGGAGACGCCCAGGGCCTGGGCCGTGTGCAGTGTGAGGCGCCTCTGTGTGTCCTGAATATAGGCCATGACTGGCATGGGGTAGAAGTTGGCCTGCAGGGGCAGCTTCTTCAGATACCTCCGGGGCTGCACCTGTGGGCCAGCCCAGCTGGTCAGGGGCTTCTGGGGACTGGGCCCTCAACGTCCCTGATCACACTTGCTTCGTCCGTCAGGGTCACCAAAACAGTCCCTGTTCTTCCCCGTGGGGTCCAGGCATCACCTGAAAGCCATTGAGGTCTGTGAAGAAGGTGCCTTGGCTATCAATGTCTGTGTGGATGCGCAGGGCCAGCTCCTTGTTGACATAGTCCCGGATGTCCACCAGGAATGACACGTCCAGAGACAGCCCCTCCACCCCTGGGCACAGGGACACAGGGGAGGCATGGGAAAAGGGCAGAGGAGCACAGTTTGCAAGCCGTGCTGGGGATGCTCTGCCCAACCTCCCGGATGAGTCCCGGGGACAGTGTCTCTGGTGACCTTGTTCCAAGACCAATAAGCATCCCTGACTCAGAAGCTCCATCTGTTGGGAACACAGAAGGGGTGCAAGGGGCACATGTCACAGCCCGTGGGGCCCATACCTCCTCCACGGCCCTTCCTTACCTGGCAGGTTGTACAGTCGGACCATCTGGTGAACATGCTCGTAGTATGTGACTACCTCTGAGAAGAAAGGGCCCTCAGTGACACGCAGTACAGGAGGGTTCTTGGGGATGTAGGGCTGGGGAAAGAGGAGGTGGCCACTGAGCCCAAGGCATAGACAGGTAAGCAGGAGGTAGCAGCCCCAGGTTGGTCAGGAGATGTTTTTGTCCCAGGGGCTCTGCCCAACGTCCTGGGCCCCACTGACTGCTGCCTGCTCAGTGACTTCCCAAGATGGCAGACAAGACCCCAGCAGGGAGTGGTTACCCTGGAAGGCCTGTGCCCCTCTGCACAGGCCCATTAGGGACACTTTCCAGGGCCCACCAGTACCTTGGCCTGGTCATCCGGCAAGAAGAGGTAGGCGCCACTCTTGTCTTTGGATGCGCGAGTGCCATAGATGAAGAGCTCCACGTCTATCCGCTGTTCCTGCTCCTCGTCCACCCTTTGGACACTCTGTCAAAAACCACAGCCTGACCCCTGGCCCCATGCCAGCACGTCAGGCCCAGCCCAGGGATACAGCCTGCATCTCAGGCGTCCCCAGAGGCCCTGTGTTAAGGGACTGATGCCTGGGGGACACTGCAAGGAGGAAGTGGAAGCTAATAGGCAGGGCCCAGGGGAGGTTTGGGGGTCACTGGGGGCAACCCCTCTCCTGTCTCCTGTGTCCTGCCCACAAGGAGGTAGCTCTGCTCTGCCACATGCTCCCGTCATGATGTGCTGCTCCCACAGGCCCAAAGCAGTGGGTTTACTCAGACAGGGGCCGAAACCTCTGCAACTGTGGCTAATGTGGACCTTTGCTCTTTATAAGTCGATAATCTTAGGTAACTGTTACAGTAACGGAAGGTAGCCTCACACAGCCAGCTTCCCCAGAGTGCTGGCTCAGTGTCAAGATGGCCCATGCCTGGGTCAGTCATTTAAGTGGTGGTAGGCACAGCCCCATCAACGTGCACACCCTCCTCCACTCTTGCCTGTGCACTAGCACCCCTGGCCCTTTACCTTGAGGAGCCCGGTAAGGCCTGAGAACCAGACCTGCATGTAGCGGTTGCTGAGGGCGAAGTCACTGGCACCTGAGTCGATGACGCGGATGGGGAAGGCTTCGTGCCTGCTGACTGACAGCCTCTGGCCATGCAGGTAGATACGCATGGAGGAGGGCAGCGTGTGGTGTGTGTCCAGGCCCTGCTGCAGCTGCAGCACGCCCAGGCCCAGGGCAGGCAGGCGGAGAGGCACAGACACCTTCGGGCACAGAAGGTGAGGACGCAGGCTGTGCCGAGCATCCTGGGGTCCTGGTCTCAGGCTTCTGTTTCCTCACAGAGAGCCTGGGCAAGTCCCTACACCCACCAGGGCCTCTGTCATTTTTCAAATGATATTTGAAAAACTATGAAGTGGTCAGGTGTGGTGGCCCTGTAAACCTGGCACTCGGAGGCTGAGGCAGGAGACTGCAACTGTGAGCCCTGGCTGGCCAATTTAGCAAGATCCTGTCACCAAATAAAAAAGGGTCTGAAGATGTAGCTCATTCTGAAGGCCCTGGATTTAATTCCCAGTACTGAAAAAATAAAAACAAGAACAAAAAAATCCTACGAAGTGGCTTTCAATAAATATTTGTTCAATAAATATTTGTGGTAGTGCACATCCACAGCACCAGCCTCTTGAGAGACTGAGGAAAGAAAATCACCTGAGCCCAGGAGCTTGAGGCCAGTCTGGGCACATATGAGAGACCCTGTCTCAAATAATTAAATAAATATTTGTTGAATGAATAGACAATGAGGCACTGTAACTTTCACTTTTACTATTATCACTGCTATGCTGAGCTTCCCCTTCCTTTCAAAGAGATTCGATGCCCGAGTGTGTCCTCTAGACAGCCCTTGTCCCCAAGACAATCACCCCCAACCTGGGCAGTAAGCAGGGCCACAGCAGGGTGATGGGAGGCAGGTGACAGGGGCAGAGGTAAGACCTGGGGAGGGACCACTGCAGACTGAGCGCCGCCTCACCTGGTAGACATTGGGGACCATGTTGGTGGCCGAGCTCCAGTGAGCACTGATCTGCACGGCCAGGGGCTGGCCGTCCTCCGACAGGACACGCACCCGGGGCGAGTTGACCAGCAGGGACACCACACTGAGCCGTTCCTGCTCCAGTGGGTTGAAGAGTACCACAAACCTGTGTGTGGGAGGTGACAGGCCAGGGCCAGCGGGCAGGACAGGGGCCTGCAGAGGGCGGGGGCAGATGTGGAGTGGGGTGGGTGCTGGGACCTTTGTGCACCTGGCCTAGTGCGGCTCACCTGGGCGAGGCGTCCAGCTGGATCACTGTGCGCTCTGGCAGGGCATCATGACTAGAGCGGGTGTCATCCTAGAGCAAAGCGAGCAGAGTGAAGAGGCATCAGGGGCCGGGCCTTCTCCCCATCTGGCCCAGGAAAGAAAGGACCCTGAGCAGGCCCAGTGGGGCTTACCACTTGGAGGAAGGGTGCCCCAGAGTCAAAGTGGTAGGTCCCCTTGTCCCCCAGCACCAGGTAGTGGGCCGCGTTGATGATGACTTGCTTCAGGCTGACGAGGGAGCGCAGAAGCCTGTGTGGACGACATGGGGCACAGGAGATGACCACAGGAGTGACCTCTCCACTACAGTGGGTGCAGAGAAAGCTGTGGAGCTGCAGGGGGAGGAGGAGGCTCCCACCTGACCCCGTAGTCCACCACCACAGCCTCCTTGGCGGTGCCAGTGATGGCATCGTGGTGCTGGAAGAGCCCCAGTGTGCGCCGGGCATCCGTCAGGAGAGTGAAGTCGGACAGTGGGTACTGGGCAGCCAGGCCAGAGCGGCGGGCGTGTGCCACAGCCAAGCTGTATAGGATCTCTGCCCCCCTGTGGAGAGAGGGGTCACTGCCTGCCACCTGCCCCACACTGCAGGCCTGTCCCCCTTCTCCTCCTGACACTCTTCCACCACCTTGGCCTCCTGCAGGCCCAGCTGGCCTTCAACCCCAAAGTCTGAGTCCCCCAAGCCTGTGGTGACTGTCTCACCGCAGATGGGCTTCCAGTACGCGATCCAAGTTCTTGTAGAAAGGCCGGGAGGTATAGTAGCCTGTCCAGTAGTGGTCCTCCCGGTCCGCGTAGGAGAAGAAATCTCCACTCAGCACTGGGAACCCTGGGGGCCGGGCCCCTGGTTCCACGCCTGTCTTCTTGTACAGAGCATCAAAATAGTCTGAGAGGGTACCAAATTGGGCCTGTGGGGACCCCAAAACCAGCTCCCATCAGTTCCATGGCTTCCTGGGAATTGAGGCCACCAGTGTGGTAACCTTGTCCCACCTCTCTGGGCCTCACAGTGAAGCTGAGACCCTTGGAATAAATCCTGAGCCCAAGAGTGGGAATAAAGCCCTGCTGGCAGCCAGCTGTGGGGAACAAGGGCCCTCCCAGGAAGGCCGCAGGCTGTAGCACTAGGAACCCCCACCCCACCAGCCAGAGCCCCCCACCTGCACATGGAGGTCAGGCTTGCTGTTGAGGAAGTCAAAGAGCCGCTGGTAGCTAAAGAACTGGGCATCCCACTCCTGAGGCTTGTCATATCGGAAGTCATCGCCCAGCGGCACCAGCAGGACATTGCTTCGGAATAGCCGGGACTTCTTCCGGTACTGGTCTAGGAGCAGGGCGGCCCTGGAAGGGAGGACAAGACACAGGCCTCACATGAAATCTGAGGGTTAAGAGATGAGGGAGCAGAGCCACCTTGAGCGTCTGGCCCTGTGAGACAGCCCTATATGGAGCTGTCCAGCCTGTGGGTGGACATACCATGGAGTAGGAAATGGGTGCCAGGGACCCAGTGTTCTCTGGACACTTCTTCCTTATGCTGGGCTGCAACCGATGGCTGCAATTCCCTGACAGCACCTCTGCTCTGTGATACCAAGTTCTTCCCCATGATTATCTTTCAGACACAGCAAAGATGTATGAGCTTTCTCTTCCTCCATCTACCTGGTCCCACAGGATAGTGTACAACATGTTCCTCCAGCCAGCATCCCTGAGCCAAGGGCTCAGACTGCACAAAGCAGGGAGGGCGGTACAAGGAAGTCAGACTTCCCTCCTCAGCTGGACCAAGCCCTGACCCACCATCTCCACAGGAACAGCCCAAGGTCACCGGCGACCACACTCATGGTCAGCTACCATGTTTTCTATGTGCGTGGCTCAGCAAGGCCATTTCACCCTGAACTTCCTGTTCTGTTTTCTGAAGCCAAGAGTAGAGCTTTTCTCTCTAATAAATCCCATCTGGTTAATCCCAGCTCTGAAGCTCCAGTGAGTGAAGTTGCACCACACTGGATTTAAAGAGTCCAGGCTCAGCCAAGTGTGGGGGTACATGCCTATCGTAATCCCAGTACTCTGGGAGGCTGAGGCAGGAGGACCTCAAGTTTGAGCCAGGCCTAGCCAAATTAGCAATTGAGCAAGATGTTGTCTCAAAATTAAAAAAAAATATATATAAAATAAAATAAAAGGCTGGGGATGTAGCTCAGTGCAAAGGCCCTGGGTTCAATCCCCAGTATCCCCCTCACCAAAAAAACACAGCCCAGACTCTGGAGCTAGATTATGCCAACATCAGCTCCACATGTGCTAGCTGAGTGACCTTAGGCAACCTCTCTGCTAAAATGAATGCATTGAACCAGGGATTTAGCTCAGTGGTTCCACCGCCTGCCTCGCAAGCGGAAGGATCCAAGTTCGATCCCCGGTACCAAAAAAAAAAAAAAAAAAAACTAAAATGAATGCATTGGGCCGGGGATTTAGCTCAGTGATTTTGCCACCTGCTACGCAAGCACAAGGACCTGAGTTTGATCCCCGGTACCAAAAAATAAATAAATAAATAAATAAAATGAATGCATTAATATTTAAGTACTTACAATAGTACCTGACATATAATAACAACTATGCATAAACATCTGGGTTATTTAACCATATTATGGGTAAAATCAATAGAAAATTAGAGCCTTATAGCACATTAGATGTTCCTTCCTGTTTTTATTATTATTATTATTATTTGTGTTGCTGGGATGGAAGCCAGGGCCTTGTACATGCTAAACAAGAACTCTACCACTGAGCTACATCCTCAGCCCTTCCTGTTTTTAGATCAACCTATTCAGTGTCCTTTGTGGGTATCATGGTTTGGGCACCAGTCTATTAACCTGTGCTGGTCTGGCCTGTACTCTATTTTGTTCTCAAGACAGACTCCTTAAAGACCACCAGTTCCTTGATTTATCAGCCCAAGGAGCCTCCTGAGATCAGGAAGCAGGCCCCCTGGCCTGCTCTCTGAGGACCGGGCCAGCCTTAGAGATGGCAGCTGCTGCTCTAGGGACAGTCATGCCTACTTAACAGCCAGAGGTTCTTTCTGAAATCAGTGTTTAGATTTCTAGAAACAAAAAAACCACTTTCTTTCCCTCCTGGTCACATGAAAACCAGTTCAACTTGTTACATTCTTAAGGTTCTGGCTAAATCACTGCTTAGGTCAGTGGTAACCAGCACTTTCAGGGATGATGGGGTGATTTCAGCCACAGAGACATGGCTGGAGGTCCCTAACTATTCTCTCAAAGGGGACAGGGAGGCCGGAGACCATGTCTAGGGGGACTGAATGGCCATGTGAATGGGCTGTGGTCTACTGCACACAGGATCCTGCTGACTTCCAGCCAAGTCAGAATACCTGAGCCAAGAGAAGGCACATTAGCCTGAGCTTTGTGAGAAACTGTACCAATTTATAAGCCATTTGCCTCTGATCAGTTAACTGGCTCTGACAGTTTGTTCGGATACGGGAAAACACAACCACTGGGGACCATAAGAGCTCTCTGGGAAAGGTGGTTCCTGAGTGCCCTTCCAGTTTTCCAGGGAGACTTGCAAGGAGCCAAGCTTGCCATCTGTTTTCTAACTGTGGCTGGAATCACGTAGCTCCCCAGCACTGCATAGCCCAGATCAGAAGCCAAGTCTCCTGGCTCCCCTGTACAGCAAAAAATCAACACCATGCCCAGGCCAGGGTTGGAAGGTGATGCCTACCTCTCTGCCACATTGGTGTCTGTGATGGCCCGGGGTGGCACCTTCCAAGGGCAGTTAATGCGCCCACCAGGCAGGCGTTTGAAATCGAACTGGCAGCAGATTTTGGGATCGGGGCCACAGGTATGGGGGACATCATAGCTGTAGAAGGGCATCATGTGGCAGAAGATGTCTGTGCTGGAGTCTGAGTCTGCAGAAGACACACCAGGCAGTCATCCTTCGTGGGCAGCCTCGGGAGCCGGGCACAGGGACGTCAAGAGGGCACAGATCTAAAGGCAGCCCTGACAGACAGTGAAAGTCTAGTGGGACTCAGGCTGTGGGACTTGCAGGCAGGGGACAGGACATGGGCCTGAAGGGTGCACAACAGGCCCCAAAGAGGCCCTAAGTCAATGTGACCCTCCTCTACTCTGAAGGACAGGATGCTCTGGCAGTGTGACCTGAGGGACAGTGGGCTCGTATTGCCGACACCCCTGCTTCTCCCCAGTGAAGGCTGCACTGCTCAGACCCCGCTACCCTACCCGGCCATACCCCATGTCTGCCTCCACATGAACTCCAGGCTGTGGGTGGCGGCAAAGTGCTTCTTGATGGCATAGTGCACCCTCTGAATCAGCATGCTGGTCAGGTTGGCACGGCGCAGCAGGTAAGGCATGGTGGAGCTGTGTCCAAAGGGATCCACTGCCCAGCCGGAGCGTGGGGTCACACCTGGGCATGCGATCACAGAGACCCCAAAAGCCTCAGAGTTGCAGGGCATGGCCTTGGCCTTGCCCAGCTACCGGCACTCCAACTCCTGCCTTGGCAGGGACTGGAAGATGCCACTACATCAGCCCATGTTAGCTAGAAAGGAACCATCCTCGCCAATTCCTATGCCTTACAGCCCCTCGTCACCGCACACTGGGCCCCACTGCGGGGAGACCACTGCTGATCCTGGACCTACCGAGGTTTCTCTCCAGCCACTGGTGTCCCTCGATGAGCTGGTCAATCAGTGCAAAGTAGTGGGAGTTGGCCTCATCTGGCATCACCCAGCCTCCCGTCGCAATCTCCAGCTGCCCGTTTCCCACCAGCCTGCAGGGGAAGCCACATTCAGGATGGGGCAGGGACCTGTACCCTGCCAACCAGATGATGCCAGTGTTTGTATGCACTGGCCTCACAGCCAGTCCACCCAAACCCAGGACCAAGAGCACAAATACTGGCCCTCCTTCCCCGCCAGCCCACCCTATGTCATCCAGGACCTGCGTATCATAGGACTGCATCTGTGCTCCCAGGGCAGGGCTGATGCCCTCTCTCCACTGATGCACTAGTAACTGGTGCCTTCTACACTAATGATCCCCACACAGTCACCCCCACCTCTGCCATAGCTCCCTGCCAACCCAGCACCATTACATATGCAAAGACCTGACCCCCCAGCCCAGGACTTGCATGATAGCCCCCCAGGACTCCCCCACTGCCACTGGCCTTCGGACTGCTGCTCTCTTTTGGGCATTGATGTTGTCCCACCACTTGGCAAAGAAGGAGACTTCTGCCCAGAGGAAGCGCCAGCGGGAGTCCTCCTGCAGCTTGGACACCATGCTGTTGAGGATGTGCTGGGTCTGCTCTGTGTAGTACTTGTCGAAGGTCTTGATCCAGCCTGGGCGGCCAACATGGAGGCCCCTGAGGACGTCACCTCCGCCTCCAGCCACCTGTCCTCTGCCTCCCTCCTGGTGTCCTCAGTGAGGGCTCACCTGGGTCGTTGTGAGAGTGTGGTACCACGAACACCTGCAGGTCCTCGGCATCCCAGTCATGAGGGCTGTAGGAGATGTCAAAGCCCTGCCTCCACACACCGCCCTCCACGTTGTCGAAGGGCAACTCCTCTGACACCGTCAGCATCTGCCGGGCAGGAAGGCAGCTCAGTGCCCCCTCCGTGCCTACTACAAGTCATTGCCAGGACCTACTCTTACCTGCAGCTCTGGCTTCTGACCTCGGCCTCCCAAAGCAAACTGGCAGTCCTGGGGGGACACAGAGAAGAAGCTGGGCCGGGGCTCTGGGGGCACCACCCAGGAGCCGTTGGCTGTGTGGTAGGGCAGCAGGGCGTGTGGGCCCTCTGCATTGGCCGTCAACTCCAGCACAGAGTCCTTGATGTGGCTGATGATCTCGTGGTTCTCTTCCAACAGCTGCTCCAGCTGCTCAATGCGGTTTTGCAGCACGGAAATTTGGCTCTGCCAAAAAACCAGAATGCACTCACCCATGGCTCCTTATAGCCCAACCAGGGTGTCTGCCTAGGGACCACCTGAGGCCTGACTGTGAGTCCTCCCTCTCTGCACAATCCAGACCATGGGCCTCCAGGGAGGAAGAGTCCTGTGCACGCTACCCCTGAGGACTGGATCGACTTGGAAGTGCCAGCATTCTCTAGCTCACAGATGGCAAAGATTTCACCTCACGTGCAGTGATTGGTGCTGCCAGTCTAGAGCATAGTGCCCAGAAGGATCAACTGCAACAGGGCTTAATGGAAGAGAATGCTGCAATCAATTAGCAATGTCTGCCGAAAACTAAGGAGAACAGAGCAGCAACACGTGCTGACATTTTCTCTTCTTCCTTTTTGCCTGTTTTTTCTTCCTATTTGGGCTGGGGATGTAGCTCAGTAGTAGAGCAGGTGCTTAGCACTTAGCATGCACAAGGCCCTGGGTTTGATCCCTGGTACCATGAAAGGAAGGGAGGGAGTTAGGGAAGGAGGGATGAAAATCTGCCTGGGCTGACATGACTCTCCAGCTCAGTGACAACCCAAGCCCAGGTGACTTGTAGACAAAGAGATCAGCAATGAGGCATGACTCACCCGCGGGAAGTTCCCACCATTCTGGTGTCGGGCAGGATCATGCTGCACTCGGTCCAGCATGAGGTAGAGGGAGAAGACGGCCACACAGAAGATGGCAGCCCCACACACTGTCACCTGCTTTTTCAGCTTCATACTGGCCTCTGCGTGGACCTGGGAGAAGGGACACCACATGTAGCTCTGGAATGCAAAACCCTTTTGGTGGTCTTTCTGCCACATGCCTCATTGAGTTCCCCAGGCCATTCTCAAGGAACATCCATCTCTGGCACAAAGCAAGCTTTCTAAGCACCAAATCCCCACACACAAGTTGTGGATCCTGACCCAACCATGATTTCCTTCTTTTGGTCAAAAATCCAAAAATACAATTAAGTAGTACATCTAGGTCTGGTCCTGCCTGGACCTGGGAGCGGCTCCACTACTGAGGTGGAGGTGCAGTAATGCCATTCCTCAGCTGAAGCTGTAAAATAAACAGGTTCAGGATGAGAGTTCCAATGCCTGAGTGCAACATCCTTCCCTGGGGTCTGGCTCCTGGTACCTGTCCAGGCTCTTTGGCCATTTGTTTCTCCTTCAGATGAATAAACTGGTCTCTATTTTGTTTGATTTAAAGGGACAGCCATAGCCAGGCATGGTGGTGCATGCCTGTAATCCCAGCACCCCTGTACTCTCTGGGAAGTTGAGGCAGGAGGATCACAAGTTCAACACCAGCCCAAGTATCTTAAAGACTTATATCTCAAAATAAAAAAAATAAAAAGGGCTGGAGATATAGCTCAGTGCAACAGCCCTCGGTTCAATCCTCAGTACTCCAAAATAAAATAAAGGTATAGCCAGAGGCCAAAGAGACATGAAAGTTTATCTCTACCCACTTCCTCTGGGATCAGTCTCAGCAGAAACTGCCTGGCACAGATCCTGTCTGAGTAAGCACAAGGAATACATTTCTAAAAAGGAAGGGAGGGAGGGAGGGAGGACAAAAAGAAAGAGAAAAAACAGGAAAAACGAAAAGACTGGGGTGCAGCAGCAGTGGCAGAGCACTCACCTAGCATGGAGGTCCTGGGTTGGGTCCCCTGTAGCGCAAAAAGAAAAAAGGAAGCTCTGTTGCCGACACAGCCAGCCCTACGTTCTTCCCCCGTTATCACTGGTTCTTGCGGTGCAAAACTTTCAGCCGCGCCCGGGAGCGGAGCGCTCGGGTCCGGAGCCCGGGCGAGGCCTGCGGGGTGGGCGGGCGCGCGGGGGCGGCCGCTCTGGGAGCTGCGCCGGGCAGAGCGGCTCCGTGGCCTCCTCCGCGCCCTGCCCTACTTTGCGCGATCAGGTTCCGCTCCGCAGTCTCCGGGCAGTATTTTTAGCCCTCCCTGCCTAGGCCCGGCGGGTGGGGTGGCACCTGCCGCGCGTCTGAGCCCCGCCCGGTCCCAGCGCGATCGCTGCCGCCGTTACCGTGGCGCCGGCCTCCGCCGCCCGGGCCTCACATCCCGGCGCCGGCCAGCACCGCACGCGTCCGCAGAGGGGCCGCTGGGCCAGCAGCGCCCGGGGCGGGGACAGCGCGGGGACAGGGACAGCCCGCCTCGCCCCGCCCCGCCGCTGCCTCCCGCGCCCCTGGCCAACCCGGCCCGGCCCCGCCGCCCGCACCCTGGACCGGGAGCCGGCGGCGGCCGCATTGCGCATGCGGAGCCCGGTCGGCCTGGGTGCGCTGCGGCGCCCCGCGCAGGGCCGCGCAACTTTTTTTTTCTGAATGTTCCTGGAGTGAGTGCGTTGTCGAATAATAGCAGAAACGCTCCTCCTCCCAGTAATCAGCCCCGCAGAAGGTGAGGTGCGACCTCCGCAGCCGCCTCCTCCTGCTCTAGGCGGCCTGTGTTTCCTGCACTGGGCCCTTCAGGCAAAGGGTCTCCTGTCGGTGCTGGTCCTTTACACGCCATCGCGTCTCTTTCCTGTTACCAAGCTGTCAATGGTTGATCATAATTTTATTTTATTTTATTATTTATTGGTTTTTTGGGTTTTTTTGGTACCGGGGATCGAACTTGGGTCCTTGTGCTTGCGAGGCAGGCGGCAGAACCACTGAGCTAAATCCCCGGCCCAGTTGATCATAATTTTATTTAATTTATTAATTTTTTTTTTGGTTCTGGGGATGGAACTCAGGACCTTGCGCTTGCAAGGCAGGCGCCGGAACCACTGAGCTAACTCCCCGGCTCCTTGATCATAATTTTAAAGCATAATGAACCATACTGCAATGGACGTCTCCAGGAAGTACACATTTTTCTGGATGAGAGCGTGTGTGTGTGTGTGTGTGTGTGTGTGTGTGTGTGTGTGTGCGCGCGCGCGCGCGCATTACAGTGCTGTGGATTGAACCCAGGGCCATCACACTGAGCTACATCCCAGTTCTTTTTTATTTTTTATTTTGAGACAGGATCTTGCTAAATTGCTAAGTTGCCCGGGCTGGACTTGAACTCGCAATCTTCCAGCCTCAGCCTCCCAGAGTGCTGGCACTACAGGCGTGTGCCACCTCGCCCAACTTTTCTACTTCTTGAAGCATGTGGTAGGAGCTGTGCCCCTCACCTCATGTGGAAATCCTAACCCCAGTGGGGCCTTTGGAGGTGATTAGATCGAGAGGGCAGAGCCTTCAGCAGTGGGATTAATGTCCCTATAAAAGGACCCAGAAGGTGCTCTCGTCCTTTCCACCGAGCACAGCTAGGAGGTGGCATCTACAAGCCAGATGCGGAATCTGCTCATGGTTTGATCCTGGACTTGTCAGCCTCCAGAACTGTGGGAAAGAAATTTCTATCATTTATCCATTTCTATTCATTATCTTAGAAAAAATTCGCAGCAGTGAGGTTTCCTGGACAAAAGATAAGCATTGATATGACAGGTAGAGGACTTGGCTTTCTGTTGTTTCCTAAAAGGATTGTGCTACTTTATAACTGTCAAAAACCGACTGTTGGCCAGGGATTTAGCTCAGTGGTGCGGCACCTGCCTTGAAAGCACAAGGTCCTGAGTTCGATCCCTGGTACTAAAAACAAAAAACAAAAAAACCCAACTGTTAAATATTGCTTGAACAGTATTCCATTAATTAACCAGCTATAAAGTGCCATCTCATTCTTTAACTCCCATTTCTTTTATCACTGGCAGGAACATTTTTTCAGGTTTGTATTCTAACTGGAATCCCTGGTACTTTGCCCTGTGTTCTGGGAGATTTTTTTTTTCCCAGTCCTTCTATTGAATTTTTCATTTTGGAGAGAATTTTAATTTTCAAGGGCTCTTATTTTATTTGTTCTCTGAACTCTTTTTTTTTTTTTTTTTTTGGTACCAGGGATCAAATTTGGGACCTTATGCTTGAGAGGGAGGTGGCGGAACCACTGAGCTAAATCCTCGGCCTGCTGAACTCTTTTTTAAAAAAACAAGGTATAATTTACAATATGCAGCACAATCTTTTTAGGTGTACAAATGTCTATAGCAACTTTATTCATCACAACCTAAAACTGAAAACTCAAACATCCAAGTAAACATAAAAACTACTTATGACACATCCACATGATGAAATACTACTCAACAATGAAAAGGAACAAAGCACAAGAACCTGAAGCAATGTGATGAATATTGAAACATGCTGAGTGAGACCAGCCAGACACATAAGTGTACATACTCTTGCATGAGTCCACTTATCTGAAAATCTAGAAGAGACGATATACAGTGACAAAAAGTCGGTGGTTACTGGACAAGGGTGGGAATGTGGATTGACTGTCAAGAGGCATTAAGGGCTTTGGGGGTGGGAAAGTTCTGTACCTTCACTGTGGTCATAGTTACATAAGTATGTTCCCAGTTAGGGGACAGAAAGCTGGAGCAGATCCAGGAAGCTTGGTACTTACACAGTCTGCAAAAGCAAGACTGGCACAGCAACAGCTTCTAGAGACCTTAGATCCACAGGACAACACGGAGCCGGTGGGACAGAGTGTCAGGAGGAGAGGCAGTAGGTCTCTGATGAGATACAGCCAGGCAGGTTGAATCCAGGTGAGGCAGGGGCCAAGTGGGAGGAACTCAAAATGGCCAGGCATAGCTGCCCACAAGAAAGGAGGCTCCCCCCACCACGAGGCTGCTGGCCTCTCTTTGCCCTGGGAGGGGTCCTTCCGTGTTGCAGGAGGATTCGAAATGCACCCTGCCAAGGCTGGGGGTGCACAGTGGTCCAGCCTCACCTACAGAGAGGTGTGTGTCGTTGCTTAGGGAGCCATGCAAGGTCCTCAGAGAGCTGTGTTCCAGCTGTGTCCTGCAGCACCACCCCACCTTTTATTTTTCCAGCCAAGAATTATTTTCAGGAGCTTAAGCCTCCCTATCAGACAGCTAATGAATTGCACAGATGGGACTTCAGGCCAAATCACTTCTATTTGTCAGAAGCGACATCTGATGATAGTGATGACAACTTGGTCCAGCAATGAGCAGGGCCATGTGAAAGGCGCTCCGCAGCCAGGCTCCCCATCTTAAGCCAGGTCAGCTGAGCCGCAGATGTTCCTGGAATTCACCTTACTGCCACACCACCTTTGCTCCAAGTTGAGAGAGAGACTGCTCCACCTCCCAATTCATTAAGCCAGATGCAGTGAGAGGTGTTGGCGACCACCTAAGGGGCTCCTGGCTGGCCAGCAGGAGCCCAGTGCAGTCTATCACCTCTTGTGCTTTGCAGCTTACTCTGGTTTGTGTCCAGCAGGGCAGGAAGAGAACCGCCAGGTTAGACTCTCCATCCTCCAGCCCTCCTTTGCCAAACAACACAGGTTCCAGTGGCTTTATTTCCTTGAGGTAGGCATGAAAGGGGGATAGGAAGAAAGAGGACTCCTTGAAAAGTCTTTTTCAAAGCTGGATGTGGTGGCGCATACCAGTAATCCCAGCCTGGGCTACGTACTGAGTTCAAGGCTAGCCAGAATTACAGAGCAAGACCCTGTCTCAAACAAAACAAAACGAAGTCGGGCTGGGGATTTAGCTCAGTGGTTTCGCCGCCTGCTGCGCAAGCGCAAGGACCCCAGTTTGATCCCCAGTACCAAAAAAAAAAACCCCGAAAAAACCCAAAAACCAAAAAAAACAACAAAACGAAGTCCTTTCTATGATTTGTGGACACTGCCACCTGTCGGTGACACAGGGGACTACATGTCTCAAGTAGTTTCCACTGCTGAACACTCTTGGTTACTAAAACAGACAGCGCCCTCTACTGATTGGACACACCTGGAGGATCCAATATGCACCCAAGTCCACATCAAACCCTAAGTAGCACAGCCTCCGTCTGCTGCGCCTCCGGGAATTAGTCCTGTACCGGGAAAAATAGCACTCATCATCCAGAGTATCCTCAGGAGGAAAGTGGGAGGCCCATCCAGTATCAGTGGCCAGACCACATGCCCTGGAGTCCTCTGCCCTTCAGCTGTGTGGCTGGGATCCAGGCACAGGTGCAGGGCTTCTTTGAGATTGCTGGGCCTGGTTCTGACCATGGCCCTGGATAGACCACCATGTCCTTGTGACAAGGTGGTTGGTTCCACTGATGTTCATGGTCAGAGGGCCTCATCCTCATTTTCCAGGGGGATCCCCACTGGACATGGGTGCCCCTCCATCTAGTACCTATTGCTCCTCTGGCAGGACTTGGGACTTTATCCAGTTGTCCTGCTATCAGGCACCAGGCTGCCAGCCCCTTGGCTGTTGCTCATGAGGCAGTGAAAATGTATCAAGGCTCATGATAAGAGGTGACATCCAGGACAAGCACCAAGGCACACATCTCTGCCATGGGGCGGGGAGGGGGGGTGATTAGAATCTGTTCTTGCTGTGGCCATACAGTGCAGCTGTTTAGCATTCACCATTGGTCATTAACTCAGCTGACCTTGAACCAGGTCCACATTCTCAGGGCCCTCAGTGTACCGAGGACCTCAATAAACCAAGATGCTGGTGCACACACTGCCTCTGAGTTAGCCACATGCGTGGATGCCACTTTATTCCTTTCTTGGAATTTCCCTGAAGATAAATGCTTGATGGGCCAAGCTCACATCCCTGGGGTTCCCCCTCCAGGCTCATCTCACAGTGAAGATGCCAGGGTACAAACACATCCTAGTCGCTCAGTGATCATCAGCTCCCAAAATCAAGGCAGAAATTGAGCCAGGCATGTGGGCACATGCCTGTAATCCCAGAACTTGGGAGGCTGAGGCAAAAGGATCTCAAATTTGAGGCTATCCTGGGCTACATAGGGAGTTTCAGGCCAGCCTCAGCCTGGAGAGCAAGATCTTACTTCAAAAAAAGAAAAAAGGCAGCAATTGCCACTCCAATGGGGTGTATGCCTCAGAGTTGTCAAGCAAGCACTACGTGTTCCCAGACCCACAGGTATCTTTGCCTGAGGACCCATCCTGTGGCTCCTGTCTGTAACTGTCACTCACTGACACTTTTCATTTGATAGTCTGTCTGGAACAATTCCATCTGAGAGAGCAGTTTCTTTATTATTTCTTTTTCTTTTTAAGACTACGGATCAAACCCAGGGAGCTCTACCACTGACCTATAGTGCCAACCCTTTTTATTCTTTTAGTATGAGACAA